AAAAAAACTCACTCCTTTGTTGGTGATCGGAATTGTTCGGGATATGACGAATTTTAAAAATATAAATAGCGCTGGCTCGATGAGTAAAAGTGTTTTGGGTTGTGAGTGTTGTTATTCAATTTGTCTAATGCATTCGTTGAAATAACCAAGTTAAACACTCTTTTTTATATTTATAGTGGATGATTCATAATGGAAAATTGTCAATGTTTTTAGTATGATTCAATAGCAGTCATACTGCAGATAAAAGAATGTTGGAGATTTCATCATTACAGCAATAAATTTCGAAATTTCCAACAAAAGAAACATGGTGGGTGTGGGGTGTGGGTGTGGGTGGTGGGTGTGGGTGTGGGTGAGGGTGTGGGTGTGGGTGTGGGTGTGTGTGTGAATGTGTTTCTTTACTTTTCACACCCACACCCACACCCACACCCACACCCACACCCACACCCACACCTGCAGTAAAACGCAAACCCAGAATCACATCCGCACCCACAATGCTCCAAAAAAGAAGTCAATTTTAGCCATGCCTAGAATCAATAATTCTTGGAGCAGTATGGTATTGTATTTCAAAAGAAAGTGACTACAAACCTTTAAAGAAAACTGTTTGCAAGCAAAATTTTGCGTCAGATGAGACAATAGAGAATGGAACAAAAATAAATGAAAAGAAAAAAAAATATTTCGAAGTCGTGTGTGGCTGTAGAGAGGGTCAAAGGTGTAGAGAAGTATGAGTATGGGTATGGCTGTGCGTGTGCGTGTATATGCCTTTGCTTGAGTGTTTGGATTGGTGTGTTGTTCTTCAACGAAACTCACATTTACATTCTCCATCAGAGAACGAGACGAAAAGAGGTAATTTATGTTTTAATATTTTTTGTTTGCGCCGCACACGTCGTGTTGGGTAAGTGAATTCTGGAACTCTCTTCGGTTTTTTTTGTTGAGTTATTTTTGTCTAATATATCTCTGCGATGCCATTCTGCATCATTCGTGACTTTTAGTTTCTTTTTACTATTGTTCAGACATCTACTCGAAAGTGACATTTCTTCCCTCAATTTCGCCAACATCTTCTGTCTTTTTTTTTCGTTCTGTTTTGACAACTGCTGTTGGGTGATAATCTTTTCGTCTTGTATCGCCGTACTGTTTATTCATGGAATAAAAACTCAAAATATCGAACATACATTAAAAAAAAAATTTGTTCTTTTACTAGAAATAATAACCAAAGGAAATCGTATCTAGTATATGCGAAAAAGAGACTTCAACTCAATACCTTTTACCATGACAAAAATCAGGATGAAATAGTTTCTTTTGTTCAAAATTTGATTTTGAGGCAAACGAAAAAATATAATCAAAGATAGTTTGTTTCATAAATACTCATAATTTTTCACTTTAAATTGAAGTTTCTGCTATATTCTAGTACCGAAGAACATTATATCGGTTGGAAATGAAGTCCTATTTTTACACCTATCTTGCACAGGCAGAGAAAAAAACGATGAAAGTGCACGAAAAGCTGTCCGCAGATTTTGCAAATGATAGTGACGAGCGAATAAAATATACGTAACTACCTTTTTAGGATTCTCTATAGTGTTTATATCTTCAATAAATTCGGTCAGTAATCTCGAAATGATGTCTGATGATTCCTCAAGCATCTGAACGTGTGTTTCAACGACGATCATAGACTAAATTTGAGATAACTAAAAAACAGATAAGACGAAATATTTTTAAAAAGACATGGTAAAATTTCGAGTTTTATGTTATTAGATAAGAGTGTTTCAAAAATATTTCTCTTCTCAGTAAAGACGCTGTTAAAATCCACCACACACGCACATACCCACACCCACTGTTTTCTTTTCTTTCTTCAACAAAACAAGTTTTCTTTGCCTGTGTTTTACTTGAATTTTGTATTTGCTCTTTGATAGCATTGTATGACGCAGATCTTCATAGTATGCTGCATCAAAAAACAACATTCTATTGCCAATAGCATGTATAGGTTTTTATTTGGCATGATTTTTTAACAATCAGATGGAAATAAAATAGATTACGTTAGAAACAAGACGATTATGATTGAGAATTTCAGAACAGTAAATAAATGCTTGATATTTCTTTTCGACTAATTTAACATAGTTTTTCTTTTTTTCATATAAGTTTGTAATGTAATTATGTCTATAAATATTCTTTTAACAGAATTAAACTTCAAATTTAGATCAAACAGGTGAATAATTCTAATTAACATGGAAAACAAAAGTAATTCATATATCAAAAGTGCTTCGCTGGGAAAAACCCATAATCCTTGTTTTATATGAGTTTTCTTTTCTTCTTATAATCAGAAATTGTACATGTATGAACTTCCATATTTTTTCATTTATTCTTGTTTTTAACGAAAATATAAAAATTACACGTAACAAAAAAGCAAATAAAAAAGAAATAGACTCAATTAACTTCACAAAAGCAGAATCAATAACTATATCATTGTATTACATTCTTCACAATTCTTTTTTTTTATCGTGGATCTTTTTGTTGATTTTAATTCGAGGAACAAAGCAAAACTTATACGCATAATTGTATATTCGCATGAGTTTAATTATTATTTTTTTTCATCATTTCAGATCATATAAGCTATTAAATAATTTGCATTAATCAATCTTTATTAAGTGTATTTATTTCTTTTGAAAGACAAAGTAAGCAATCGAGCCATTATTTTAATCAAAAAGTTTACTTGTTGTTTCATATTTATATATATATCTTTTATGAATTTGTGAAACGATCAAGTATTTATTTTCTGTTTTCTATTTCAGAATTAAATCAACGACAATTATTTTCATGGGAAAAATATGGAACTTTGTATCCAAGTTGTGGAATTCAGAGATAGAAATATCAGAAGCAGTAAAAAATATCGGCAAGGCTTTTGAGGATAATAGTGACGGAGAAATATTTTTTAAAACAGTTCTTTCTAAGTTTGAAAATTATGATATATCAAATCGAACTCATCATAACAAACATTTTTGTGTGGACATTGATTTTATTATTCAATGTGCAGTATCAACTTTAACGTCGCCCAAACATTCAGAACGAGTGTCAGAGCAAATCGATACATTTTTTTATGTTTATCACCGAGTTGCCGAATATAATAATTATGATCACCTATATAATGCTCAACTGGAAGAATTTCAAGAAATACTACTTGTGCAATCAGGAAATGTGTTCAAATCAACCAAAGGTTCGAAACCAATACTTTCTACAACAAACAAAGATCTGATACGACGGATGAAAATTCAAGAACATTTAGCAAAAATTACTGAAATTATGGATATCAAACAACTGCATACATTCTTTGCTCTCTGCAAACTATCATTTGAGTCATCGTTACTGATCAATGGCAATGTTCGTCTGAAATGGATTGATATATTATGGAAAAAACATTTTTGGAACATATCACTCACTGATTTTATTTTGCATTACATAAAGTATGAACGAGCGTTCGAACAATATCCACTCGATATACAAGCTTTAATTCATCTCACACAGATAACGCGTTCATCAAACGGTGTTGACACATTATGGTTTGATATTTTCCCCAGTCTTCTAGATAAATTACAGTTGAATCATAAAGAATTCTTCGATCTATTCTCGAATACATTCGGTGATGGTATTAGAAGTAATATTTACACGCTGCCAAACATCGGAGATCTACTTCGAATGCTAAGCACACGAGAAGATTTATTTGGCACGTATCTATCGATATATGCATCAAATGTATCTTCACATGTTCTGTGGAACATGTTTTTATATCTAAGCAGAACTTGTAATATCAACGAAATCATGCAAAAATATCTTAGTCTAATTTTAGCTCAGCGAATCCAAAACACTGTCAAAGAAATATTCAAAGAATACCTTGAGCAGGCCAAGAACTGCATACAACAAATCAAAGATGAAAATCGTCAAGTTTTTCCAAAAATACTTGAAACAATACTCCATGCATTTCTCAACAAGCAACTTAACGATGAACAATACTCCTATCGATTCGAAGAACATGATTTAAAAGAGTTCTTAAATATCGCTCTTGAATTGTCCCCAATACATGATCTTCAACATCCATCTTGTTTACTTATTATTCAACATTTATTATTCAAAATGGATAAGAATATACCAGAAAAGTATGGAAAAATCAAATACCTATTTGAAAGATTGAATAATCTTGATAGTAATTTATGTGAAACAAACGATCCCGCTAGTATCATACGAGATGAATGGCTAAATAACTATATTGTCCATATTCCTCAAGATTGGTTGATGTTACAAAGACATGATTATCAAAGTCTCAGTGATGTTCATAGAAATAATCGCTGGTCAATATATATTTGGTCAAAAATTATCAGTTTGAGCCTGTCGAAATTAGAAGTCGATAAATGGAACGAAGCACTTGCACAACTAAATCAATGGATGATCAACGTGAAGCACAACATTTACGATCCAAATGACACTTTGACAATCATCTTTGTTAAGAATATATTTGATATTATTATTTTCAAGCAAACAAAATATATACTGTCTGTTCCAAGTATTGAATCAATTCTTCAATATATTCTATGTGCTAAACAAGACAATCATTGTTTAATTGATATAAAACACGTAGATGATTTCATTCAAAATGTACATCATTCAATACAAGATATTTTATCATTAAATAGTAAGTTTAGTTTATTAGAATTTATTATCGTAGACGTATAACCGCCAGTAATTTGAAGACTGTTGGTAACTTTTGTTAAAAATGATTTCTGACACTGAAGAACGTTTATTTACGTGAAATTTGATGAAATTCTGCATTCTATGCAATAATATTCTTCTATGAATCGCTTTATTTACAAATAATAACTGAGTTTCTTCCAACATTTGTTCATAACACGAATTGTTCTCAAAGCATTTTTTTAATTGTAGGTCCATACACAACGTATCAATCGCTGTTATCTATATCAAATGTTACTTATTTTCTACCGTTATTCGATGTGACAAACATGCTCAGTTCATCAGATCCACAAAGATACACATTTCCTATTATAACATCACAAATCGATGCCATTGTTTCTATGGACAAGCCAAATGATGTCGATATATCTGTGATTGATTCAAAAGAGCAATTCTTTCAAAGTTTTATACAACAAGTTAATAGATGGCTTGAATGGTTTGACAAATTTATCGATATTTTTCAGTACATCATAGAATGGCTTAAAACTCGGAGATTGGAGAGTGCTGAGAAATTACTGATTGATATACATACAATCAATAGCGATTCTATGATTAGTGTCATTAAATTAAAAACAATGATCCAAGAAATCATAAAACTACTCAAAAATTTTAAGAATCTTCGACGTCTTTGCGATCTATTCAATTGTATAAACTCATTTGAAAACATTAATTCTGGTACTTTAACCAGGTCAAACCAACGTAAATCTTACCTTGAAGAACTAAAACGATTGCATACCAATAATAAATTCACAGCCTATGCTAATACTGAAGATGAACAATGGCACCCAATTGGAGCCCGTCGATTTGTTTACTGGTCAGTTGCTAGTGAAAAACTTGAATGTAACATCAAAATAGAATATCGAATTAGTATACCTCGTATTAAAACTTATGAATTATTTTCTGATCGAAACGTTCCTCTTGATAAACAAGTTTTACAAGGTGAATTTAAAACACAGCAAAACGGCCATTTAATCATCACTATTGACAATAAAATCGGACAAGCTCCACGAACAATTTGGTATCAATATAAAACAACTCCTCTTGCAACATACCATCTATTTGATGGCATCTTCTCGATGCTTTATCAAAAGTATTTTGGACAATCAAGTGAAAACATAAAGGAAAATGATTTAATAGATTTGATCGATAAATCCTTCTTTTTTATTGATCGACTTCTAGATGGTAGTATTACTTTACAAGAAATGGAACATCTGAAAAACGTTTTTCACAATAAAAATATCGATGTTAAAGAAGAAGTCAAGGCATTATTTGCTAATCGTTCCAATACAGATCAGAAGCAAGAAAAAACAGGAACCATACCACTTAGACAAATTGAACAAGTTTGTGAATGGTTACAAACTTATCAATACTATAGTCATCTTAATACGATAATCGAATGTGTACAAAAGTTAAATATTATTTCAAATTCAAATAGTAATAAAAATTATGAATCGATAGATCATTTGCAAAAACTGATTATCAACGAAAATGTTTCTCTTAAAGAGATCTCAGAAATTTGCAAAAATATTTATGAATGTTTTCAAAAATTAACAAATCATCATTTACAATTGATTAAAACAATTTTAGAATGTTCTAATGTCGTTCAAATGATGAAAAACTTTGATTTATATTCTACTCAAGGATTACGTCGATTTCAACAATTACGAGATAATTTAACAACGCAATTTCAATTACAAGAACGCAATAATATGATTCTTAATTCGTGGATTGTTAGTTATGCTCTATGTGAACCATTTATTCGTCAAGTAGAAAATTTAGAAGAATTTGTAGATAATCTAGCAAAATTATCAAATATTGATGAAAATACATTGGAACATATAAAAGGTAGTCGAAAGACTTCATCATTTTTAAAAATTAAATTTTTTCTAGGGGAGTAAATCGTACTTATGAATAGATTGATTACGAATAAAATGATTCTTAGCTATTGAATATGTAGAAACAGTAACATTTAATAATAACGTAGTCAAATTTGTTTCATCTGACATTTTTTATATTTAATCACTAAAACATTGATATTTACCTGTCTATGATAAAAAATGAGATTGAAAATCATAGCATATTTTGGGATTCATTCAGGCTATAAATAATTTCATCGTTTCAATAGAAGAATATCAAATAGAATCAAGTTTTTCTGCAATGAGTTCGATACTTGCACACATACAGAATGTACTGATGCATATCGACGTACATATAGAGAAATTTTACGGTAAATTATTGTTTACATAAAAGTTTATTAATCTAGAATGGGTTCTCAACTTTCTATACTACTCATGATAGTTCCACTATGATTTTAAGTAATTGATGCTATACTGAAAGAAAAAATTCAACAATATCTAACATGAAAACTTTTAAACCTCAGTTTAATTTTCAGTAAATCATTTCTTGAATAGTTCAGCATTAAGACTATCGAAATTCTTCAATAATTGATGAAACAAATTTATTCTTTTTTTTTGTACCGTTATTTTGAACGTATAGCAATCTTGTCAGTTTGTGAAATTTCTTTTGAATATATATTTTTACGAAATGATTCGTTTGTTTTTTTGACAATCGAAACAAATTTTTAAAGAGTTTCTTGTCAGTGAGAAAAATTTTTCAATTTAAGAGCAGATTCTGCATACCTTCATATGTTTTATTTTGTACATGTTTGGATTTAATTCATATCAGATTTTATTATAGTTCATCCATGACAGGACAAGAGTTGTAAGAAATTAGTGTAACTTAGAAATATTCAACAAAAGTTTTTCAGCAAATGAAAAAAAATGAAGATTAAGATCAACTAGCTGGAAGTATTGTCTAATAAAGGTCATATCGATCAATGAACATATTAGAAGACTCGTGTATTGCAAATTTCTATTACACTTTGACTGTTTATCATAATAAACAAAAAAAAATATATTCTCAGTTGTCGATGAGACAAAACAAAAATATTTTAAATTAACTAAATCATTCTTTTCTTGTTTTTCTAGTTGTCAATGATAATATACAAATTATACATATGTGGTTATCAGCAGAAGAAACAACGATTTTCGACAATGCTCTTATCACGATGGAGCATTTATACAAGACAGGCACAGTACAAATACATTTAAGAAATCTCATTAATAAACAATCTTACTTTGAAATTGTATATTCGATTGCTAAAGTATCAATACAAATCAATGAATCCGATTCTGATGAAAATAACAGAGAAATACAACAACAAGATACAATGACATTCACATTATCCATGGCTGATATTGACGATCATAAGCGTCAATTAACATTTTGTAATGTTGATTTGAAGCAAGATATGAATGAGAAAAAGATATTATTAGAAGAGCAATTAAAATTATTGAATATTATTGAAAAAATTTATTTTATTCTTATCAAACTTGAAAAATCTGGTCATCCAAACTTTCAATTAAAAGAATATAATTATGAAATCTATGATCGAACAGGTTAAAAAAATTTTACATGATTTAATAGCTAACTTTTGAATTTTCATGTTTTTTATTTTAGGTAGAGTTAACAAAATATTATCTAATTTGAGAAACAATGTAGTAGACGGTGAACAAGAACTTAAACAAGAGATTGAAGATCGAACAAAGTATTTTCAAGCAAAATTTACTAAATTCGAAGTTGATTATGAGATATGGACAAAAGATTTAGAAGAATCTCGATGTAGAAGTCCATTATTAAAATTATTTTCAAATCATCAAATTATGATTATGTTTATTTTATTGACAACATCAACAATAGAAAATGAAGTTCAACGAAAATTTCTAGAAAAATTATTTTTATTAGAAAATCTTAAAAATCATATTGAAAAACAATATAACATAACGATTCTCTGTTTAATTCATTATTTACAATCATTGAGAATTAAAAATTCTAACTTATCTAAAGAAAATATAATTAAATTATATGATAAATATAAAATAGAATATCATCATTCAAAAAATGAAGATCTACAATTACAAAATTTACAAAAATTATGTTCTTTCTTAGAAGATTTATTCAATAAAGGAAAAGAATTATTTGAAAAAAATGAAAATATTAATGAAAATCAACAATTTTTAATCACGTTAAATTCTCGAGAACAAATACAAGATAAAAAAATTGAAATTGAAAATGATTTTGACCTAGATACATGTTGTATTCTTTTAAATATTTTTAATAATCGATTACCAGCTGATTATCAAATACTATGGTGTTCAATTTCAACAGAAGACGATATTCGATTATTTTTTTCACGTGTACGAACTTTTTCATACTTAACATTCGTTGTCATGGATATTGATAAAATGCATCATCGACTTCGAGAATTATTATTGAATGAACAACATTCATTAGCAAAACAATCTGAACGACATGGAACAATTTATTATTTTTCAAAAGAATTAATATCATCTAGAAAAGGTTTAAGACCATTTTATATAAAACCACATGATCGAAATCCATTACAAACTTTTTCAGAATTTAAGAAATTATTTAAAGAATATAATTATCCATTACCAAATATTCAAATAATATATGGAACAGCTGGCATTGGTATGAAATTTTTTTTTTCTTCATATTTATTTTCTTTCTTATGATGAAATTCTTAATTTAATTTCTAGGAAAAACTCATCGAATTAAAACAAAATATAAAGATGATAATACATCATGTGTAAGTATCAATGATAAATTAAATTTATCATCATTAATCAGTCGATTTCTTTCATTGGAATCGAAAATATCAAATAATCAACAATCAATCTATTTTAATATTTCTATTCATGCAGATTTTAAACAATTAAATCATGCATTTTTTTCTTTATTTATATGCGGATCATTAAATGATCATAGAAGTGGTCTTATATTTTCACCATCAATAACAAAACCATGGAAATTTATTATTGAAGTTCCTTATAATAATAAATATAATATAACAATTAAAAAGAATTTTAATCAAATATTACCAATACTTTCGATTATATCATCAAATACTTTAGAAGAAGTTACAGATCAAAATTATCAATTATTTATTGGTACAGAAGAAAAACTTATTGCAACATTTCTTAAAGCTTATGAAAATCAAACAATTGATCGTTTTTTAGTAGAATATTCTGATAGTTATGAAGAACCTGTAGATTTCGATTTACTTATAGATCCTGATGAATGTCGAAAATATATTTATAATTGTATTGAAGAATATGCACCAGAATTACCAAGAAATAAAATTTTTGAACTTTCATTCATTAAATTTTTATATCGTCGTTTTAGATTTTTTACTGGATTTTATTATCGTTATAATGCAACTATTGTTAATCTCGGTTCAATCACTATGAAACAAATGATATATGAAGCAAAACATCTTACACAAATAGATTTTTCTTCAAATAATTATCCTCATATTTATCTTGTCTATGATCCAGCTTTTTCATTACATTTATTACATAATGATTGGAATACAGTTCCATTAAAATTAAAATTTCTTTTTAATAATATTGATCCAGTAATAAGAAATGATTATAGAAATAAAAATTATTTAATTATATGTTTATCATGGTTAATCGATATTTCTTATGATATATTCGAAAAAATAATGATTGATACAAATTTTATTTTAACAGAAAATTTTACTTATAAACTTTTTCATATTCATGAAAGAAAATTAACCAAATTAGCATTAATTATTGAAGGTGAAACAGGTGTTGGAAAAACATTTCTTTTAAATTTTTATTCTTTACTACTTAATGCAAATATAACTTATGGTAAAATTGAAAATACAATTGCACCAAGAATTTTTGAACGTACAAGTTTATGGTTACGAAATGATATTATAGATAAAATTTTAAAAAATGAACCAAATCTATTAAAACTATTCCTTCAACGAATAGAATCAAAACTAAATGAGTTTAAGAATATAAGCAACGATGAAAATGACGAACATGATGATGATTATGTCAATCATCAATTATGCTGCGAAATAAAAAAATCTTTACAAAATTTCGAATATAATCATGAAATTTTACGATGTCTATGGAAAACACTTATTACTGTTGCAAATGAAAATACAAATGATGTTCTAAAAAAACTTTATATTGAATTACATAACTTTATAATGTCAAGTTTAATAAAGTTTCCATTGGTAGAAATTAGTTTTCAATTAAAAAAGTTATTAGAATTATCACATCTACCAACAGTTGAAACATCGATCGAAATTTTCCATGAATTTATAAGTCATACTCGTAATAAACCATTATTTTATCGTCTTCTTTTACATCCTGATGTATCTGAAGAACAAATCGAACATTTTATGTTTCCTATTTGTCAATTAGCTAAACAAATACCTGATATTGAATTAGTTGTTTTTTTCGATGAAGTTAATACATCTTCTTGTCTTGGTCTATTTAAAGAAATGTTTATGGATAGAACATTACATGGAATTAATTTACCAGAAAATATTTTTTTTACTGCAGCTATTAATCCATCAATAAATTATCATAATAATTTTCAAGTTCATCGTCATGATTATATCGTACATGAATTACCACAATCTTTAGATAATCTTAAAGTTTCATATGGAATATTAGATTCAAATACATTAGAAGATTATATTAAACAAAAAATAGCAAAATTTACTATTACGACTTCAATAAGAGATGATCAAAGAAAAATACCATTAATACAATATACACAACAAATACTTACTCAATCTATTCTTAAAGCACAAAGATTTTGTGAAACATATCTTGGTAATTATTTTTGTTTTAATAAGAATATTTTCAAACATAATTGAAATTAAATTCTTTTGAGATAAAAATAGAATTAAATTTTAAAAAATATTAGAAAAAAATAAATATTGAAATAATTTCAATATAGGAAAATAGTTTAATTTTTTTTTAGGACGAAATTCTGTATCACAAAGAGAAATTCAAAGATGTTTTAATCTTATCGATTTCTTTTCGACTATGAAATATGATGACAATAATGATGAGTCAGATCCTATACGATGCATTGCTTTATCATTAGCATTAATTTATTATTTTCGACTTCCAACCAATGAAGATAATGCACAACGGAATGATCATAGTACACCATCACGTGAAAAACTCGATGAAATTCTTTCTCAGAATATACCAAATTTTGCTGAAATTATTCAAAATGAACTTGAAAGATTTGTTAATACTGATCATTTTGTAATTCCCCATGGAGTAGCTGTTAATCAAGCTGTAAGACTCTTATCATTTATTTGTCAAATTGTTTTTTTTTCTTCATCTTCTTTTTCTTTTTAGATTCGTGAACATATTTTTTCAATTGTTGTCAGTATTATCACTCAAACACCATTATGTATAATTGGTGCACCAGGTATTAATATTAGAATTTTCAAATTTGGTAAAATATTATGTTATATTAAGGTCAATCTAAAACACTTTCATTTCAAATTGTTTTACAAAATCTTCAAGGTTCTCAATTATCAACAAAAGAATTTTGTAAACGTTTACCAGCAATTGATCCATTTTTTTGTCTTGGTTCAAAATATAGTCGATCTGAAGATATTGCATCTGTATTTGAACGAGCTATCAAACGTGAACAACAATACAAACAAAATCGAATAGATACACGATGTGTAAGATTTTTTTACTTTTTTTAATACTAACTCACAGGCATACATATTTACATGAATGATACATTAGTACTATTAAGGAGTAGCAATAGATACTTATTGCTTCGTTTAATAGAATTTGTTCGCTTGATAGTAATACATCGTAGAACATATATGTTTAAGTCCAATATTGTATTAGAGAAGAAAATTTCCGTTAAAACTTCCATTAACCTCTAGATAGATGTTTTTTTTACAGCTAAACAAAAAGAATTTCAATCTAATATCCATTGAGATACTAATAGAAGTTTTAACGAAAACTTTTTTTTTACATTATTTGAGATTGAAAATATTCTCATACGAATCGATTCAATAGAGTAATACAAATAAATATTTTCTTTATTCTACTTATGTATGAATATATAAGATTAATATTACATATTTTCAGGTTGTTTTCTTGGATGAAGCGTCATTACCTGATGAGAAAAAGATGGTATTAAAAGTATTACATCCTTATTTAGATGAATGTAAAGTAGCTTTTGTAGCTATAGCTAATAAATCATTTGATGCTGCTAATGCTAATCGAATGATTTGTATTTATCGATCATTACCATCAGAAGATGATCAAAAAATATTAGCATATGGTTGTCTTGGTTTACAAACTGAATATGAACAAAAAACAATAAATAAAAATCTCGATAAAATTGTATATGGTCTTTGTAAAGGTTATCGTCGAATACTTTTAAATAAAAATATTTCTCAAATATTTCATGATCGAGATTTTATTTATATGTTAAGAGAATTACGTTTTGAATTACCAACAATAAAAGATAATGAAGAAACAACAAGTATTAGTATTATAAAACCGATTAGTTTAATACGTGCTCTTGAAGATAATTTTAATGGAATAAAACAAAATGAATTTCAAGAATTAGTCGAAATTTTTTTAAAAGCTATTCAAGAAGAATCTCCTAATTTTCATTTATCAATTGAAATACAACAACAGAATATTTATCGTGATATTCCAACTATTCTTCAAAATTCTATGAAACTTGATTCAAAACGTCGACGTCTTTATGGTCGTTATAAATTAATTATTGATGAATCTGAAGATGAAAGTGCTATCAATCTTTTATATCAAATAGGTATTCTCGATTGTGATCCTATACGAACATATATATTTCGAATGTCAGATTTTTCTGATGATATTAATAATGAATTACGAAATGTTGAAATATTATCAAAAATAAAATTATGTATGGAAACTGGAAAAACAATTATAATGGCAAATACAGCTCGAATTCATGGTTCACTCTATGATGTTTTTAATCAAAATTTTTCAATAATGGCAACAGGTGATATGAGAAAAATCTTTTCAAAAGTTGCTATTGGTCCAAAAACAATTGATGTTTCTGTTCATGAAAATTTTCAATGTATTGTTCATATTAAACGAAGTGAATTTAAAGATATTCCACCACCTTTTCTTAGTCGTTTTCAAAAATATTCACTAAGTATCAATGATTTCTATCGTATTTCCTTACAAAAACTTCCTGGTGAGAAACAGGCTATTCTACGAAATATTGAAAACAAAGTTTTATCATTTATTGAACATTTTGGACGACAATATTTTTATGGTATGAATGAAAATACTCTTTATTCATGTCTTTTATCATTAATCAAAATAAATGAAAATGAAGAACATTTATTATTAAATGTACATCAATATTATACACAATTGACTATTAAACTAAAATCATTTATTGAAGAAAATCCTAGTAATACTGAACAATGTCTCATTCGATTAATACTATCGAAATTGATTCAACTTGTTTCACCTGAATCAATTATATTGAAATTATCATCATTTGAAGAAAAAGTTCAACAATGGTTATGTTATTTATATTTTCAACAACAAGAACATTTTAATTTAAGAAATTTCATTCAACAATTAGTTTCAAAACCATATCTTAATATTAATAACGATCAAATCTTATCATCAGAAAATATTGAACATCAAATAATACAGAATACAATACATATAACAACTAAAGTAATCATATATACACGAACATCATCCTATGTATTGGGTCTAAATCAACAATCAAAAAATGAATTATTTACTACTAATGATGATGATGATCATGATCATGAAGTTTCAAATTGTAGTAAACAAATAGAAATTATAAATTTGGTAAGTATGCCAACTTCATAACGCAAATTGTTCAAAATGAAAAGAACTGATTATAGTTTTGTAACATTTTCTTTTATTAATTTTCATCCTATCATCCTCGAATCAAATGGAAAATAGATTATTGTTCAGACATAGTGTTCTGTAGATTTAAAGAAAAAACATTTAAAGAAAGAAATTGACAAGATCATCTCAATTTCAACTTCTATACATTCATTTGAAGTAGTACCACTAATTAAATTGAGTCATACTATTGATTCTATTAGAGTTAAAATTCTTCACACATGTTTAATTGACTAACTTGAATAACGAGTGATTGGAAAGTTTCCGGACAAAATGTTTCTTCATTTTTCGACCGATTAAGTATGTCAGTAGAAACTTTCGAACAATGGGTTAGATTCAGAATTTTTGTAGGACTCATAATTTAGGAGTTATGAGCGCGAATCTTTGGAAGCCTTAAAAATAAAGTATGGATAGGATTCAGTGCGCTAAAAGCGTCCAAAGTAGACATAAAATTTATTTCATATACCCTTAACGAAACAGTAAACATTTCTCTACAAAACGATAGCTTGGTCACTAATTTTCAATGAGGCTTCTCTGAGTAATGAGAGTTTTAGTAAGAGACATAGAGACATTTTCAAAATTCCTTGGTTTCCAGACTGTCAAAAAGAGCTTGATTATTTCTGAAAGAGTGGTGTGAGATGCTCAGTTCTTAGCTTACTTGGATGTCTTTACGACGGAAATAAGAAAGTGCTGAGAAAGGTTGGCGAAAAAGAGTAGAAAATTAATTCCAAAAGACATACGATCACATTTTGATTTTTTTGGATCTGTTAGTTTAACTGCTTCCGTTCAAACTTTATTTTTGAGCCTTCCAAAGATTCGCGCTCATAACTCATAAACTATGAGTCTTACAAAAATTCTGAGCATAGATTCTGAAAGAGCATAAAATTCTGAATCTAACCCATTGTTCGAAAGTTTCTACTGACATACTTAATCGGTCGAAAAATGAAGAAATATTTTGTCCGGAAACTTTCTGATCACGCGTTATTAATGTTGATGACTAACGATATAAAGTAATTATGTTATAAACTGATAGAAAAGTGTGGTGAAGATATTAGTGTAAGTGTGAATTTTGCATCTGCGTACAAATACCGTAGTTTAACGATCTCATTTTTCCTAACTCAACCAATCCCAAGCATTGATATTTCATTTCTATATTTATGAATTTTTTTTTTCATTGTATTAAGGGTACAATTGAAAATTCTAGTGAATTAGAGTATAGATTTCATAATTATACAAATGACAATGATAAAAATATTTTAATAATCGTTATTGATGGTCGTAATGGACAACAACGTTTACATATTCCATTTGTTCGACAATTAATTGATACAACTGAATCTTCTTATAATACTAATCAATGTCGAGAACTAAAATATTTTCTTATGCTTGTTCATTCATCATCTCAAGATATATATCATCAAACATGTTTTTCATCGATATTTTTATATGATTGGCAATATTATTTCTTTGATACATGTACACCTGATAGTGCATTTCATCTTCAAAAAATGTTACGAATTATATCATCATCATCTTATAATGATCAACAATCAGAAACTGTCGATAATGTTCTCTATGATTTAAATATTCTTTTTGAAGATTTTTTATAGGATTTTTGCTCTCGAATTCAACTTCTTCCTAAATTATCATCAAATATGTTTACAAATAATATGGCTTATGAATTTTATCAAAGTCAAACAAATGTAATTCATCGTGTTAAATGTTTAAAATATATTCTTTATCGATCAACAAAATTACAAAAACATATTGTTGATATTTATCATAAATATTTATTAAGAAAAGAAAATTCTTCGAAAAAAATTTATAATTTTATTTATGAAATATCTAAAGATATAATATGTGGTAAACGTTTTGATGGTCTTATTGATTCAATTCAATTACAAACACGAAATTTATTTATAAATTTTGTTTCAAATATTTTCAAAATTATTATTAATGATTACGGATTAGAAACATTACCAAAATTATCAATTGAACATAATAATTATGGTTCATTATTAAATTTAATTGATTATCAATCATTTTCTATCAATGATGAT